CACAATGAGTTAAGTACGGGAGTGGGCTCCACTGTATGTGTGTGAATACACACAACAAAAAATCAATCTGCCACTGTTGATACATTGACTATGGTACAAGAATGATTTGTACGCACGAATCGCCGGATGGATCCGACGCCTCTGCGATACCCGGCAGAAACTGGTACCGCTAGTTTTTCATTTCGCACACAACATCAAAATGTGATCTGATTGCTTTACGCACAACATCAAGATGTGATCTGATTGTTGGTGAGCATGGCAAATCCAGCTTCGTTCATTTTTTGTTAGGAACTTGACATGCTTGCAAACTAAATTTAACATCCTATATGAATATCTTTCAATTTGCCATGTACATTTTCGTTAATTAAACCACAATGGACATAGACTTAAAAGAAAACAACTCCTCTTATTGGAATGTGCAATACCGCGTACATGGTGAGGAAAGGAGAAATGAACAGATAACAACAACTCAAAACACAAGCCCAGATCCCTCAAGCTTTTGTTGGACGATGCGATCCAACTCCTCCCCCATCACGTGGCTCATGTGGTTTGCCCAGTCCCCTACTTCTCCTTTTCTGTAAAACACAGAGTTACTCAAGAAAAATTTATCACCGTGACGAACGCCGCCGACCTGATTCACTTGCAGGCTGGTAAGCGTCTCAAAGCTGCACAACTTCACCACCTCTTGAGCAACACCAGAGCTCTCCTCCTCCTCGGTCAGCGGGATGCCGAGAAATTTCGCCAGCTTCCTCACCACGGGCACAGGATCGGACTTGATCTCTTCATACTTCAAGAAGAGGATGTTGTCCGGCCTTGCTATGCTCTCCCTCCAGTACCCAAGGCAGTGATCCCAGAAGGGGCCATAGGGCGAGAACCCCTCGCAGAACATGCTGAAAGCATTGTCCATGGACAGATTGGTGCCCTGGAACGCCTTGTTCTCGAAGTGCAGCCTTGACACGAGGGCGTCTTTGGGGTCCCGGCACAGGTACACGACCCGGCAGCCGACCGATCTCGTGCCCGGCGGGAGCAACGACATGGGCATGTGCGTGGCGAGAAGCCTCGGAGGCGGAAGTGTATGGATGTCGGTGTGGTTCGGGCCGGCGCCCGGGATCTCGATGAACGGCACGACATGCTGTGGGTGGCGTGTGCGGAGCGGGTGGTCGCTGAAGCCGTAGCGGGACCGGTTGGCGATGGTGAAGGCGAGGGCTTTGAGCCAGGTGGTGCCGCATTTGGGCTGCGTGGCGAGGATGATGTCGTCGGCGCGGGGCACGAAGGCGTGCTGGACGAGCAGGATCTGCTCCAGGAGCCTCGGCCTGAACCAGTAGTTCTTGTATTGAACCAGTGGTTCAGACCACCCCTCTCTTACTGGAAGTGCGGCTACGAAATCCTTGGGTGGGAGGACATCTTCTTCTTCTTGTGTTGTTGAACTCTTGGCAGTAGTACTCTCTGGATCACTCATCATGGATGGAGCTACTACTGCTTGAGCAGCCATGGCTGATGTGGGAGGGGAGGCGAAGCTGGCCTAGTTTGCCCAATGTATGCTACTTTGCTTGTAGGAGGGTGATGTTGAGGCTGGCTATATTGTTTACATTTTCTGCAGCAGCCGGTTGGTGCGGTGATGGAACGTACTACCTGATTTTATTTTATATATAGATATATACACACCTTTTTCCCTAAAGAGAAGGCTATATGATGAGCGGTAATTGCCTTTGGCTCCTAGGTGCATATGCATCTATTATCGAAATACGCATTTTGAAAAGTTAAAAAATTCGAAACAAAAATTCCACATGTACATTCGAACATTTTATGTGCGTGCCTAAGGTTTCAGTGAAAAACGATATTTTTTGTGGTTTGTGTAAAAAAGACAATCTCTAATGCTTCATTCTAACTATTCACGAGGCATTTCTTTATCTTTTTTACACAAGCCACAAAAAACATCGTTTTTCAACGAAACTTTGTGAACGCACATAAAATGTCTGAATATACATGTGAAATTTTTGTTTCGAATTTTTCAATTTTTCAAAATGTGTATTTCGACAATAGATGCATATGCACCTAGAAGCTAAAACGTCACTCTTCAATGATTGCTTACATTTGCTGGACGCGTGCGATGAACGTGCCGCTCACATGGCTTTGTCCTGGCCGCACAAGGCTCCAGTGAATCTTGTCGGAGACTGCGTGCATACACGAGGCTGCACATGGCTTTCTCCTGGCCGCACCAGGCATACAAAATGATGGTGGATGGTCACATGCAGCTTCAATTTCCTTGTCCACATAAAACATCTAAACCCACACAAAAACCTCCCGCATTCGTCCCCGGATAAGAAAAGACCAGTCAATAGACACAGATGCAGAAGGCAGTCATTCAACCATAGCCGCATACATCCAGCCTTTTGGAAAAAAAAATCTCTGTCCGCACGATCAAGTAGCCGCATGCACAGGGCATAGAAGTTCAAATAGCCGCATGCAACACTAGTTTAAATTTTAAAAAGTTCAAATATTTTACACGCCAACATTGTTGCCCCCTTTCACAGTCCACTAATACTCAATCATATCATCCTTGAGCTGCTCATTTGTTGGCCGGTGATAAATTTGTTGATGCATTTGAATAAACTCCTCAAATATGGCCGGGTTCTGGTCCGAAAGTCGGATAGGATCACCCATGTTCTTAAATTCCAGAGCTGCGGCAGTATCATCACCCTCATCCTTGACGATCATGTTGTGCATGATCACATAAGATGTAATCATCTGACAAAACGCCTTTTTGGGACTCTCCTTGGCTGCTTGGGCGCAAACCCAGGGACATTGCCCCGCTAATCTTCGGTGCCTCTAGGAGAAAGAATTGGAAGGTGCGTGAGGCCCTTAAAGGGAATGCATGGATCCTGAAGATCAAGATTGACACGCCCGTCACCGCTGCCCACGTTCACGAGTTCTTCTCTCTTTGGGTGCTCGTGAATGAGGTCCACCTTGACGAGCATGCCAAGGATGATATCACCTGGAAGCACTCCGGCGATGGGATTTACTCGGCATCCTCTGCCTACAAGGCTCAATTCCTTGGGTTGATTCTCTCCCCTATGGATTTCATGGTGTGGAAAGCTTGGGCTCCACCGAAAGTTAAATTCTTCCCATGGCTGGCCCTACAAGACCGGATTTGGACTGTAGACAGGTTGGCCAGGCGTGGCTGGCCCAACTGCGGCCTTTGCCAACTTTGCAAAAGGGAGCAAGAGTCTGGCGTCCATCTTTTCTTCAAGTGCTGCTACACTCTTAGGCTTTGGAGGATGCTCATTGACAAGTTGGGACTTGTGCACATGGACACCACCACTTGGCATCTTGCTGGCTCGATGAAGGAGTGGTGGGAGAAGCGAACCAACTTGCAGAATCCTAATAGACGAGCAATGTCCTCTCTCACTATGCTCGTCTCCTGGTCCGTTTGGAACGAGAGGAATGCTAGAGTCTTCCGCCACAAGAGTGCTCCACCGACCATCCTTCTTCAAATGGTCATCGATGAGACAAAGCTTTGGGTCACTACGGGTGCGAGAAAGCTAGGGGACATTATATTGCGAGAATAATTGTCATGCCGTGTGTTCGGCTCTTGTAACAACTCTATCTTCTCCTTATTTAATATATGAGGCAAATCTTTTGCCTCCGTTTCGAAAAAAAATTCATCTCACACAATGTCTTCAGATCAAATTGTTTTGCAGGTCCACGAACAACTGCAAAACAGGCCTGAAGATCTCCGAATGCCCTCTCGACATCCTTTCTAGCTGCTTCTTGTCTTTGGGCAAAGTGAGCCTTTTTCTGAATAGCTGTCTTCAGCTTCCGCGATTCATCGAACAGTTGTCGGGCATGGTAGAGGATGCTACCTGGCGGGGCGGTCGGAGGACAGGGGGTTGAATGAAGACGAGGGAGAAGTAACGGGGAGCTCTACTGGATGGCCGAAGGTGGCGAAGACGCAGATTTCTGGCAGGGGTGGTGCATGGTGGCCGGGGTGGTGGAGCAGCGGCGACATCAAAAGAGAAAGAAGGAATGAGAGAAAATGTGAAGGATCGAGTCGCGGGGTCCGAGAAGGATTTTGGGTGGGCCTGGGGTGTTGGATTCATACGTTTCGCGTGTCTGGACTCCCGCCAACCTCCCCCAATTTTGTCTCTATTTTGCGGGAGAAATCATGTTTGGACCGCCTCGCGGACCGGGTTATGGCCGTGTATGATGGCTTCCGCGGTCCGGACAGCGCAGTCCGGACGAGTACGGGAGGTTTGTGGGGTTGCCTTGGAGATGCCCTTAGAGCATCTCTGGCAGACCTCGTAAAGACGGTAAAACTAATAAAAAAGGCATTTGCAGTTTTGGATGAAAAAAAGTCCTAGCAAATCCCGTAAACTTCGATCGACCCATCAAAATTTGAAGGGGCACCGGGAATCCATCTGCGAGAACCCCATATGTACAGATTGGAAGGCAGTATATAGTTCAACCCGTAGACGGTCAAACCTTGTCGAAGCAGATGTGCCGCCGCGGAACTGGCTGGAATTAACCTGAAACCCAAGGGAATCCGTTGCCGCACATCGGAAAAGGTCGCCGCACGCCGGAATTTTTCTCTACCGGTCCAAATTGTGGACGACTCAACCTTCACCGCCAAGGCGAGGCCGGCCACAGGCGGGGTGGAGAAGGCTGCCGCCAGCCCGAATCAAGTCGGGCGGCACCTGGAGAGGGGCGAGAGAGGCACAGTCGGGGCGCGGGAGGTGCGATAGCAGAGGGCATGGCCTAGGCGGAGCACGACGGCGGCGTGTGGTCGGGGTGGGCATGGCCGGGTACAGGGCGCGGCCGTGCTAGGGCGTGCATGGCCGAGATTGGACGAGCAGAGGTGGGTGGCGGTCGGGCTGGGCTTGGCCGATGTGCGGCGCAGCCGTGGGGAGCGCGGAAGGAGCCGGACGGGTTTGACCGAAGCGGAATGATTGCTTGTTGTATCATTTTGGATACAGTTTGTAATACGGTATCTAATTTTTTGCCGAGTTTTGCACCGTAAAACGGTTTAACACTATTAGAAAACAGGGCTTTGGTCATGGCCAGATCAGAGCATTAGTCCTGGTCGTGTTACGATCCGGGACTAATGGGAGCATCAGTCCTGGTTCGAGAGGCTAGGACAACGGTCAGACCTCGGCAGGCATCAGTCCCGGGTCGGCTGGGACCTTTAGTCCTAGTTCCAGCCACCAACTGGGACTAAAGGGTTAGCTGCCCTTTACTCCTAGTTGGAGTCAGGAACCGGTACTAAAGGGTAGGCCATGAGACCCGGTTTTAGACACAAACTGGGATTAAAGTTTTGCCTATATATATTCATCATGCCCCCCCCATCTCCTCTGTGTTTTGGCCGTGGAAGGGTGGAGGTGTGTGCTACTCTGTTTTTTGCCTACATGTGCACCTGAGGTGTTTGATGAAATGCCCGAGCCACACTTAAGGTTTCTCCTCTCCAAGATCGACCTCCAAGCTATATTTTCCTCAAGATTTGTCTAGGTTTAGTGGTGCACCAACTACACAAGCACTACTAGGGAAATGCTTATAGGTAGGACATCAGTAGTAGCGCTGGAAAAAAGCATGCGCTACTGCTAATTAGAAGTAGCGCTGTTTCGGGGAAGCGCTACAAGTAATGCTTTAGCAGTAGCGCTGGAAACAGAAAAAGCGCTACTACTAAGTGGGACCCAATGCTCCCACCGACGCTAGCGGTAGTAACAGCATTGTCCAGACAACAGTGCTACTACTAAGATTTTAGCAGTAGTGCTTTATTTTACAGCACCGGTACTGCTAATGGGACCCAGTTAATAGTAGCGCTCTTCCTGGAAAGCGCTACTGCTAAGTACCATAGCAGCAGTGCTTTCTAGGTAGCAGCGCTACTGTTAGTTGCGGCTGGTGCCACCTTTTCACCCCCTCCCCCTCCTCCCCCTTTGCCCTCTCTCCCCTCCTTTCCCCCCTCTCCGCCATTGTTGCCCATCTTCTCTCTTTCTCCTACCCTCTTCTCTCCCCATTAATGTCCCCCTCCATCATAACTCTCCTCCATAAATGGCCTTCTCATCTCTCTCTTCCTCCTACCTCTCTTGTCTCCCCATTAATGCCCCCTCCACCATAACTCCCTCTCCATTAATTAGCTAGAGTCATCTTTCCTCCCCAACAACAAGATCTAGCTAGCTATTTAGCCATCCACACTTTCGACCCCTATAGGTAGCGAAAGGCCTCATCTAACCATGCTCGGTCTCTCTCAGGAGATATATAGGTGATTAGAAAGCTGTTCATTTCAAGAATGGGAATATGTGTGTGAATGGGAATATGTGTGTTTGGGATATGGAGAGATTTGTGCGAATGACATGCCCCCGAGTTTCTTATGTTTTTCCGAAGTGTCAATTTATGTCCGCTTCGATGAATTTCGAGCAAACTTGATATGTCTTATTTTTAGGCAAGGTCATGCCAAATTTTTATATGACATTGATGCATGCATGCATTTTGTTTATA